TGACTGACACGTCAGCAGGAGGTCTGCAGGGTATGGCTGCCTGGGAGTGTTACCCCATGGTATCAGATGACGGTGCCAAAGTACAGGCTGAACCTGGCACGTGGGGAGACAGGACATGGTTTCTTCTTGTTTTGCCTTTCTCATTCAAGTTCCTCTGACCACTGTCATCCCCCTGGGGACTCCATGTCCTTCTGAGACACCCTCAAGAGGAGAACACAACTGTGTTTCCAAACAGTTCTTGACCACCCTCTGCAACATCCCTGCTCCAGGTTGCTTTCCCTCAGTCTGCACTCTCTTCTACAGAACAGGTAGAGGGAGACTGATGAGTTAATGGTTGTTAATATGTTAATTGTTATTTGAAGTCTAACATGGTTCACTGATAAGCTATCTCTAGGGAATGAGTCCCTATTCGGCACATCAGGCTGGGAGGGGAGATGCTTAGGGCAGACAGGCATGGTGATAGTGAATTGACCATCCCTGCTTGTGCCTCACATCCTATGCCAGCTTCTACGATCTGGGTCATCGGTCTCATTAATCTCTTCTGCCAACAGGGACTGAGATACTTTTGTTTGGGGGGGGGGTAGGTGCCTAATGTTAGAATAGTCTTTAAGTCAAAAGTGTCCCCTACCCCCCCAGTATAACTACTCACAATATGATTAACAGGAATGATAGACAAATCCAGGAAAGAAAGGCAGCGTGATTTTATAAAGCCTGACTATTGCAGGTCTCACTTGAGATTTGCAGTGACCTGGAAAAGCCATTTATTTATTATTATTATTATTATTTTTTGGAAAAGAATAACATTTTTACTTAAATATCATTTAAATCACTAGGTATCTTAGTTTGCCCAGGTGTGCCAAATCATTGTCTGTACATCAAAGTTTGTGAGAACCTGGAAAGACAATATAGGAAAAAGAGCTATAATAAAATGAGCTCTGTCATTGGGAACTGGGCTTCTTTGTCTTCACCCATTAGGAAAGATGTTGGATGTAAAGACTTGGTAAAATAAGTTTTCTGAAGTAGAGCTATTTAAATGTAAACGACCTATTTGTCAAATTGGAAATCAAGTGGATCACCAAGCAGCTTGGAGCAGGGTCCATTTGGCTGAGGTACAGAAAGAGTTAAATCCAGGGGTGGGCCTCAAGTGGTTTCTGGAGAGAGTAATATTGCCTAGCTCTTCTTAATCCCACACCTGCAGCACATTAGAGAGAGTGGGGTTAGTCAATCATGTACTGTTATTTTTACTTATGGTTGGGCAGTCCATGCCTGTAGGAAATTCAAAACCTTCTTCCAAGCATTCTCCGGTTATGCTGTCACATGGGCCTCCCCCACAATTGCACACTGCGGGAAACAAAAATAAGAGATTAGGTATTTATATTTTTAATGCTTAGAAGAGAGCAATATTTCCACGGTTCTAGAAATACTGGCTATCTGTACATAATTGTTCAGTGGAGATGAATTATATTCTTTCTTAGGACTATGTGGAGTGGATGATACAGAGATTATGCCTCTAACCTAATTCAGCTCAGACCAGTCAGAGTTTCAAAGATGAACCTAGGGCAACAGTAAATCTAAATTTTCTTTCTTTCTTTTTTTTTTTTTAATTTTTTGTCAGAGGGTGCTGGTGAGGGGGATGGGGGAGAGAGAGAGAGAGAGAGAGAGAGAGAAAGCACTCTCCCATGGAGAATGGTCATGCTTCTGTACCTTCTCTATGCTCCTCTCTGGATTTTGGGCATGCACATACATGCACTCAGCCTGTTTCTCAAGCTGCTGGTCTGGAACTTGAACCTCACAGTCGGCCATGTGGAACCCACTTGCCTTAACCACCATGCCACTGGCTAGCCCAAATCTAAAATTTCTAGGACTCCTCTCTCAACTCTTCATCATTCTGACATGACTATTCAACTGGTTTAGTACAAAAAGATCCTGTTTTACAAAGTACTAAATGACCACAACTTGAAATGGAAAACCATCATTTTGTTGCACGGATTCTCTAGTTTAATCCAACTCCAGGGTTGATTAGAGCCAGGTGTGAGGGAGGAGCAGTCCAGTGGGAGTGAGTGAAGAAGCTCAAGAGCAATTCTTGGCTTCTACTGCACTTGACCCTTGGCAAGATGAACTCCAAACATCCACATGGGAGCTATCAGTAGGAAAGCTGGGAATAATGTTGTGGAAAGAACGAGGGACATATCTCCATAAATGTAGGAGACCTGAGAGTCCATTATTCATGTATTGATGATTTTTAATAATGCCTTATGGAAAAAACAAAAACAAAAGCCCTGTCTCATCAGACTGTTCATTTTCCGCTGTGTTTCTGTGTGGAGATTAATTTGTAATACTTAAAGAGTAATTCCTTAGCTGACTATACTAGCAATAAGCTGGGATAGAGTTGTAAATTTTTCTCTATCTTTTAACTATCTTTACAGAAAAACCATAAAAATTAGCTTCGGGGGGACATCTACTTAATATGTTTCATTTGTTTAATGTTCTGTAAAATGCAGATTTATTAAGCCATTCAGCAAGATCATGCTGTATTGCTTCTAACATTGGTTTCTCTTCTAAGAGTGATCTGTATCTTTATAGTTCAAACGTCAGTTTAGTAAATGTCTTAAAGATCAGAATGTCGACCTTTTAGGCTTTGATTTGACCAATACTCTTTTGATGACTGTTTCCTCTCCAATCTGTGTTCCTTTCTTCTTGCTGTCATTCTTAGTGTTACAGCTCTGTGCTCATTGCTTTCTTATAGACACGTTTGCTCTTAATTGTGAATTCTGCAGATCGTATGTGTTCCCTTCTCAATTTTTTATTTTTATTTTTTGAGAGAGATTTTTGCTATTGGGCAGATGTGCTCACCCGGGGAGACTGAGAGTGACAGAGAGACAGAAAGCAAGAAATCAACCCCTCCCTCAGGGGAATGCCACGCTGCAATCTCTTCTCCTTCATTCTTGTCTTAGGATTTTGGGCATGCATACACACATACCCCAGTGTGAGTTTTAAGTGCCAGGTTCAGGACTCGAACCATGGCTGACTACATGGGAATCCAGTGATGTAACCATTACTTCTTCTGTGGTCTGCCCTTCACAATTTTAAACTCTTCACTTCTTAAATTTCTTCAAGCTTAAATGAGGGGATTTTGTATAAGAGCACGCTACAAGAGCACAATACCTCCTTTCCTCTCTTCCTCTCCTAAAAGTCACAAAACAATAAGATACACAATCTCTGTCTTCCTCCTAGACAAAGGCAATTTTATTTTATACAGCACGTGGATTGGAGAAATAATGAGCAAAACGTACACACCGTGGTCTAACTAAGTCTAATCAGAAAGATGTCTTATACTATCTCTGGAATATTTATTCTGCCTACTTGAGGAAATTGAGGGGGCGATGGTAATTAAACTATACTCTTGACTTGTTAATCTATTTTACTGAAATGCCAGTTTTAGCAAACATAACTGAAAGGAGGTAGCCACCAAAATAAGAAAACTTATATGAACTATGCAAAATTTTATTCAGTTCTCATGTTGATGATGATAAGTAATACGTAGAGGTTTGATTTCTTCCTTCATTTTTTTCCAGTATTATTTATTTTTTCATGAGCAAGAGAGATAAAAAGTGAGACCGAGAGATAATACCCCCGCAGGGTCCTGTCGCTGCAATCCATCTCCAGCGTTAGCCAGCCTGGCTCACGAGCATGCGTGTGCCTGTTGCACTCAGGGAGCTCTCCAGATGTGAACCCAGAACCTTTCTATGTGAGTCAGCCTCAGGGCGTGTTGTGTTTTACTGCTGTACTATCATCTAGCCCCTGATTTATATCTTTGATCAGGATGGAAAAAGGATATAGGATGATACTATGAAAGTTGAGTTTTGTTACTGTCTCCTGATTTATTCTCCCCATGAGCTATGCTACATTAATAGCTTTGATAAAAATTTCCATCTTTGGTGAGTGTGAGATTCATACTTCTGAGAATGTATGTTGTCCTGGAAATATGATGAGTGGACACTGATAATTTTTTTTTTTTGAGAGAGAGGTTTTTGCTATGGGTCATTTGTTCTCATCAGAGAGAGAGAGAGAGAGAGAGAGAGAGAGAGGAGAGAGAAAGCAAGAAATCATCTCCTGGGGAGGATGGCCATGCTACAATCGCTTTTCCTCCATTCTCCTCCTGGGATTTTGGGCATGCATGCTCATGCGCTTGGTATGAGTTTCAAGCCTCCAGATCCGGGACTCAAATTGTGGTTGGCCATGTGGGAATCCAGCACCTCAACCACATTTATCCAAATTTAGTATAGACAGAAGGCCACACAGGTGAAGCAGTTGGCTTAGGATTTGGAGTACTGTACCTGCACAGTTCTTGGCTGTTCTGGCATCCCCATAGTAGCCAGGAGCACAGCGCTCACACTTAAATCCAGTGGTGTTTCGTAAGCAATTCCGGCACTGGCCAGTGACTTCATCACAGTCTTCAAATATCAGATTGGGATCTGAATTTCCACTGCAGTCACATTTCCTACAGGTGCTTCCAACGAGTAAGGGGTTTCCATAGTAACCAGGAGCACATCTGAAAGGGAATAGCACATGTTAAATATTTACATTCATACATTCATCATTTTTCTTCTTTCTATTTTCTTTTCTACATAGATGAAAGGTGTAGTTGATATTTGTAGAATCCATTCCTACTCTCCCATCTTTAAAATAGAACCAGACTTCATTTTTAAGAAACCATTCTATACCATTGCGTGTCAGTTATTCAGTTAGCCATGCCTCCAAATTTAAGAGTGTCTGGACTGACATCGTGTTTAGGGTGTTCTGGTTATCCTACAACTGGTGTGTATGGGTGGCATATGATGGGCAGGGCAGATATGCTAATGAGATTCATCAGTAAGGCATAGCTGAAAAATGCCCTGACCCAAATGTTAATCGTAGCTTTATTAGGAAATATTGGTCTAAATCACCATTCTGTCTTGCCAGAAAGAATCATTCCAGTAACCAAGCCTGAGCCAATCAGTGTCTGGCATTCTCTTGGCCAAAAAGGATTGGCTTAGGAGTGATTCAGTGAGGGTGTTGTTTGGGCTTTTGTTTGAGAGCCATGGAAAGGCATTCTCTCCACCTTCAAGGGAATAAAGAGGTTGCAAGTGGCTCCTGGCAGCCATCTTGTCACTGAACAAAACCAGCCTCAGACAGAGCTGAGAATATCACAAAGAAACAGATTCAGAGTCCAGATTGCCACTCTTTTGGGTGTTTTAGATATGTGAGCCTACAGAGGCCAGGCACCTGCCTGCTTTAATTGTGGGGGTAGAGCCAGTGCCTATGGTCATGCTAGGCTGGTCCTCAAGAGAGCCCAGGTGAGTTGGAGAGTGAGGATGAAATTTATCCATGCCTTGCTTGCCTTACCAAACGGTGTACTCTAGGTGGGGCTGTCTCAGCCAAGAGAAGGTACTGCATCCTGTACTTTCCCCAAAGGTGCTCTTTGGGCCAGCGCACTCCTTGCTTTGAGTGGCAGGACTGTGGCCTCACCTAAGGGGCAGCTGCTACTAGGTATCAGCCAATTGTTGCCAGCCTTGAGGGAATAAAGAACTTGTATTGCCAGATTTTCCTCTTTTTGAAGAAGAAAATGGAAATTTAGAGTTTTATGTGAAATTGAGATTTTAAAATGTTAACTCAAACTTTGTAGGAATAGAGTAAGGTCAAACTACACGTTTTCTGACTAATTGTGAACTCGCTTTCCTTTGCTGTAAGCCTGTACTAGTTTAGAAGAGGGGCTGATGTGAGCTAAAGTCACTTTAAGAGTGCCTGGAAGAACGTAGTGTGACACTATAATAAGATTAAAAGTCTGACCAGAGAAATAAAATGAAAAAGGCTTTGAGAGCCACAAAAGTGATATTGGAGGAAGCCAGTGTTCTTTTCATAGTGCAGGATGGACTATGGTCTGGAGCAGGGAGACCAGAGTGGGGTTGGAGGGCCTGGGCAGCGTGTTGGCCTTGGAAGTAGAAAGAAAAGGAGGGCTTGCCAAGAAAATCATCAAATCCTGGCCAGAGATAAGCAGATACTCCATTTCTTTCTTTCTTTCTTCTTCTTCTTATTTTCTTTAACTTTTAATTAATTAATTAATTAATTTTAGTTTGACCAGAGAGGGAGAGAGAGAGAAAGAGAAAGAGAGAGAGAGAGAGAGAGAGAGAGAGAGAAAGTGAGAAAGCAAGCCTCCAGGTCTGGGAGTCAAATCATTGGCATGTGCCCCTTAACCACCATGCCACCTGCTGGCCCAAGATACTCCATTTCTCAATGGTTTCCCCTAAACTAAGAGAATCATGATTCAGAACATTTGAAAAATAAAAAAATGAGAACAATCACATCTGTAATTCCAGTATCCTACCCAAATCACTGTTCAACGTTTTGTATATGTTCTTTTAGCCTTTGTCCCTATCTCAGTTTTTTGGTAGAGTTGTAATGATGGTGTATGTTTAATCTGTACATTGTTCTCTTGCACTGTATCTCACAGCTTTACCTACGTGAGCTTATTTATTTACCCCAGAGACCTGGGAAGGAAGCCACACAGGCCTGGCATTCTGAGGCTGAGAGGTTACTCTGGTTTTCCAGGGACACATAGCCAGGAAGTCACAGTGCAAGGCCCAGACCTTGTGACCTTAATGTTCTTTTCTTTGCTCTACCCTGGATCACACTGCTACTTCTATAAATGAATGAATGAATTCATCCAACAGAGGGACAATTCATGGCAATTTTATGTAACACATAGGAGACAGGAAGAGGAAACACACACAGCTTATACTCTGAAAGAACAGGAAATGGATTGACCCTCATCGTACATAGTATTATAAACTCTAGAAATCAAAGTCTATGAAAAAGATGAGGATGAATTTATATTCTTCATAACCCTAAAAGAGGCATACTGAGAGGAAACGTTCAATTAGTTTTGCTACTCACACTTTCTCAAGTCTTTGTACTTAAGATTTATAGGCCCTCTGGTCCTCTAGTCAGCATAAATTATTCCCCTAGGGACCATGTGACTGGATTGAATTTCTATCCTTTGGTGCAGCTCAACAAACAGGATATTCTGTCAAAATTGTACTCAGCTCTACTCCCTCAACTGAGACCTGGGAGTAAAGAGACTTGTCCAAGCTCACAGAGGTCAAGTTCCAGTTACTTTCTTTTCCCACTTAATCTACTGCATTTGATCTCCATAGGTTTTTCCCTTGGTCTTCTCCAAGAAGAAAAACATCACATCTTTTGTTATGTAAATTAGAATCTCAATCACAGTGGAAACCTACTTAGAATTACTCTGAGTTGCAAGAATATCTTTTGGTGGTAGGTTCAGAGGCAGCTTTGCAGTTGTAGACTACATTGTGGACCCTACAGATTCTGCAGCATGAGCATATGCCTTGATATTCCCTTATAAATCCTCACTTTGAGAGATAAGAAGAGGAGAGCACCAAGAAGCTAAATAACTTGTTCATTGTTGCATGGCTCAAGCCTCTTGTGGGACTCTGGGTTTCATGATTTTTTTCAGTTCCACGAGTCTGACATTAATTAACTAATCAATAAGTTAATGATTATAACAGTCGAATAATAAGATGCAATCTATATGCCTAGTCCCACCCTTAAAGAGCTAATAACAAAGATACTGAAGGACTGGCGGTTGGATTTAGAGTCAGTAGTGGAGTACTGGTATTCAGTAACTTGGTCCTAATTATTTCCATAATATTTTTTCTAGGTTTATTAATTACTTGCTATATCTAGAGAAAAATGGAGCTGACAAATTCACAGTGCTAATGAAAGGGCAGTGGCATATGAATTGTCATTCAGTTTGTGATCATATTGAGTGAAATTGAAAATAAAAATGTGTTGTTTGGAAAAAAGACAATTTTTAGAAAAACTATCATTTTGAAAATCTTTGGAGCTCTTATCCTGTTCTCCTTCTCTTCTACTTCTCCTAGGACAATAAAGGTGCCATTAAATGTCTTTGATAATGGCATCCAGCTCCAAGACTGGGTGGTACAGAGACACTGCTGGGAGTAGATCACTCTGGAATAGTCAGTAGAATTAAATAAGATAAGGGGAAAAAAGCACTCTTAAAAAGTAGATGCCATATGAATGTGTTCTACTTGTTTATGAAAAATTAGGAAATAAGCTTAGGAAGGGGTGAGCAGGTAGCATGGTGATTAAGGGCGCTGGACCCTCACATGGTCGACTGTGGTTGGAGTCCTGGACCTGGTGGCTTGCTTTCTCACTTTCCCTCTTTCTCTCTGTCTTCCTCTAGTCAAATTAAAAATGAAAATAATAAATACAGTTGAATAAAATAATTCTTAAAAGAAAGAAACAAAGATAGAAAGAAGCTTAGAAAATGACATATTGAAGGTCACAGGATTCTTAATCCAGAAATGGGTTGGGGAAGAGAGTAGAGAGTTATAAGGACTGTATCCAAATAACGAGGCTGATAACTCAATTTTGAAGCTTTGATGCCTTCAGAAGAATTAGATTAAATCTTGTCTTATAGTAAACCTCAATAACATTAGCTTCTCTTCTTCCTTTTCCTAGCCTTCTTTTCCATTGTTAAGGCCATTATTAAAATAATTACTATTGTCATCTTCATCTCTGATGATATTAAGTTCTGCCTTTCCCATGGGGCTTAAGGTCACCTACATTTTTTGTTTTAAGAGACTTTTGCTGTAGGGCATGTGCATTCACTGAAGGGACAGAGAGAAACAGAGACAGAAAGTGAAATACCACATCCTGGACGGGAGGCCATGCTGCAATCTTTTCTCTATTCTCCTCTCAGGATTTTGGGGATCCATGTACACGCACCCAGTGTGAGTTTCAAGCCACTGGGTCTGGGCTTCTATCCATGATCAACCATGTGGGAGTCTAGTACCTTAACCACTATGCCACATGCTAGCCCCTAGAATTTGTTTTTTATTTATGCCATTCTTTTCTATTGATCCTTAAGCAACATGTTCTGCATGATGAAGCATCATACATGTAGCATGTTTCTCACTCCACCACAAACCTGAATGGCGGAAGTGTACTAATAAAGCCGCTAAGGGAGGCAATGCAGAATCTTGAGGTAATGAGATGATGCAGTTTATCAGCTGAAAACTGGATTAAACATTGAGGGGTCTTGGGTTTGGTTTTGGATTCACCAACCACTAACAATTGTGTGTCTTGATGAAGTGTTCTCATGGCTCTGAGTCTCAGGTTTCTCATCATTAAAATGTACAACTTAGTTGCAGCGTGATGGGCACAAAGGCAAGGGAATGAAAATGACAAAAGTCCTTCCATAAGGCATCTCATAGTTAACGGCATCAGAAGATGACTTCCATTTGCAATCTCCGCTTAACCAAGGGCAGTGCCATGACTCCATCTATTCTGGGCTACCCTTTTCCATCTTCCTGGGGTGGGATAGGAGTTGGAGGACAAACAAGACAAGAAATGACTGACTCTTATTATATATTGCACCCTTTTAAAAGGAATATTAAAAGTGCTGCAGGTAAAGTTTAAAAAAGTATAAGTTAAACAAATGTAACTAAGTGCCTACCATTTGCTAGACATTGTGATGGGGGAAGAGTGGGCAGGAAAATGATAAAATGCTGCTTTGGTTGAGGAGTTCATAGTTTCAAAGTAGAGATAAAAAAGCCCTCATGTGATTTTGAGCAAGTTACTTAAGCTCTCTGTATCTCAGTTTCTTCCTCTATAAATAAGGATGAAAATAGTACTCCATAAGAATTTTTTCCCAGAGGTTTAAATGTGTCATTGTACACAAAGTGCTTACAATAGCGTCTGGCTCACAGGAAGCACTCAATAAATGTGAATTATTCCTATTATCACAAATGTGGTTTAAATGCAATGCAATGTGCTGAGCTCACTAGTCAGTCTGGTGGATTTTGGGAACAGTATGTCCAACACGGCAGTTTAAAGTGTAAGGTGGAAGAACTTTAGAAGAGACAAGTAGGGGCCAGAGTAGGCTTAGAATCATGGATCTAAATGTTGAGACAAGGTGGATGTTTGAACTGTTTTACACGGTAGAGGACATCAAGCAAGCTTTGTAGTTGTTTTTTTATTTATTTATTTTTTTTTTAAATTTATGTTCTAGATTGATGTTTCTACTTGGATGTAGTATGGATTTTTATTTCTTTTTTAGGTTAAGGTTTTGGCCATAGGACAAGTGCACTATCCAAAGAGACAGAGAGAGAGGGAGAGAGATACAGAGAGAGGGGAAAAAAAGAAATCACCCCCTGCTGCAATCCCTTCCTCTCCACTCTCCTCCTGGGATTTTGGGCATGTGCACACACCCTCACATCCAGCATGATTTTCAAGCTGCCAGGTCTTGGACTTGAACCGCGGTCAGTCATGTGGGAGTCCAGTGCCTTAACCACCATGCCACCTGCTCGCCTCAGCATGGATCGGTTTTAAAGGAAAAACATTTCCACAAACTATCCCTTTCCACTGTTCATCTAAATTATCTGTAAATATAACCAACATAAAGCCAGGTGGGAATTCCTTATGCCTATGACTTTTATATGTCTTGAAAATCCAAAATAAATTTCCAAATAAATGACAAACGAAGCTAAAAAACTAATCTAATTCAATTAGACAACTGTCATTTAAAGCAATAAATGAGGTCTCGTCGCCACTGAGCAGCAACTTGCAACGTGCCACGGCAGAGACTGCGCGAGTTCAGCATGCAGATCTTGCCACGTGTCACGTGATGGCTCACTTCTCACCAGTTTTCTTTTCTAATCGTTAGTTCTACTGTTCGCCTCAGTGTCATGACTGTTTACCTCCAGCTGTCTGCAGCGTGTCACTGACATGCTGTCACCCTCTTATTTTCTCCTTAGCACTGACGTTGATCTCCCTTTGTTACCAACTGAAATACAAAAAATCCAGGAGAGGTCACAGTGAACATGTTTTCTTCATGATTATTATTGAAGTGAGATGTGAAATTAAGAAAATATTCATTGGGGAAATCTCCCAGCCCAGCGTCAGAGGACCCTCGTTAGAAGTCACATGTCCCGCCGGGCCATGCAGGGGATGCCAGTCTGAAACACTGGGAACCCAAAGTCTGCCCTGAAGACTCATCAGGCTTTCTTCCTTCATACGACATATTTCACAAAATTTGCTCGTCAGGTCTGCAAAAATACCTTCTGGCTGCAGCAGGCAGCAAGGTGACCATTCTGTTTGTTGCTATTAATTATGCTGCCATTAGGGCAGAACGTAAGATGCTTTTAAATTCTTAACCTTATATGTTGTGCTTCTGACCATGTTCTCTCTCACTCACTCTTTTATTTACTTATTTTTGTTTGTTTGCAATAAACATAAGTTCTTGTATAAAGAGAAAAAGAACATTTTCATTGGGAACTCATAAGCTTTCCTGATAAATACATCTGAAGACCCTGCAGGCTCTTAGGCCGTACTTTGGAAGCACTTTTCCCTTATGCAAGTGTGGTATTGAAGGCTGACGCGCAACAGCAGCCCACGGAGCAGCAGGAGAGCCTGGAAGTGAGAGCCCATAGGAAGCCAAGAGGCGGGCTTCAGGCCTGGCTCCTACAGGCTCTTCTATCTGTATGGTGGAGGAGGGTTTGGAACGGGCTCAGGAATCCAAAGGTTTCCAGGAGACACTTAAACATAGATTCGAAAACCACCCTTTGATTAAATGATCTGTAAATACAGAAAGACCCAGAGTGTTCTTGGTTTGGACTGATTTTTAACTTTTGTTTGAAACAGACATCTGTACTGTGTGTTTTGTGAAGAGATGCAAGTTCACAACTACCTTGAAAAACATAGATTAGGGGAAGCTGGGTAGATAAAGTTTATATAGAAGAGTAATCAGCGTACATACATTTATCTTCACGTAAGGACCAGAGAGCTGTGAGGAAGAGGTGGCTGACTAACCAGCTCGTTACTTCTTTCTAGTATCTCCATGACTGACTATCACAGGACATTTTTTCTCAAGACAATTCCAGGTTTGCAATCCCTGAGGCTGATCACGCCAACCAACCACTGTGGCTGCCAATGAGTTGCTTCTGCAAATGACTTTCATCCTGTATCATTCCTTCTCCCATCTCCAGAAGACCCACCTCTGTTATCCTGTCTAATGCAAATCTTCCAGATTAGCTTGCATGGATTGTAACCCTGTTACTAGTATAAGACACCCTAGCCTTTTCAAGGTTGGTGGATGTGTTGCTATTTCCGTCTGGCCATGCTAGCGGGTCTTGTGCATGCCCCAGGTCTGACCTTTATTTAATGCTAACTTTGCGAAACCAATAAATTCCATTCTTCTTTATAACCTTTGCTTTTCTCTTTTGGACTGACAAATGTTAACTCAGACAACTTAAGAACTTGGTTGTTAAAGTCAAAATAGAAACCCTCCTCTCAGTCCCAGGGTCAAACATAAATCAAAGCAAACTAAGGTCACCTCCTTTTGGATGATTCAGCCTCTCCATGGAAAAGAAATGACTCCTTCTTCTATACTTTTGAACAGACTTGACTTGCTTTTCTGTTTGGCTTACTTATTCTGCCTTGTGGTGAGTGGTTTTCAGGTTTGCTTCCTCCCCTGGTCTTGGTGTTCCTGAGGACAAGTGACCGTGTCTTAGCTATACTGGCATCCCCACCCCTCCACCCAGAATTGTAAGATTAATTTTGATGTAAAAGATCTCAGTACTTGGGTCCAGCAGATGGTGTAATGGTTACATGGCTGGACTCCCATGTCGTTGGCCACAGTTTGAGTCTCAGACCCAGTAGCTTAAGATTCACACTGGGCTCAGGTGCATGCATACTCAAAATCCTGAGAGGAGAATGGAGAAGAAGGGACTGCAGCATGGCCATCCCCCAGGGATGTGATTTCTCATCTTTTGTCTGTCTTTCTCTGACTCTCTGGTGAGCGCATGCACCCTAAAGCAAAAATCTCTAAAAAAGGATCTCAGTACATTTCCCTTAAAAGGAGGCAGGGTACGAGGGAGAGTGGACAGTAAAGAAAAGTAGGATGAACAGAGAAGGTTGCTCAGAGTGACCCTCTCCTTACAGGTAAAAGGCCTTAGAAAGGAAGCTTCTTTCCAGTCCTTGTGTGGATGCAGCCTCCTGTCAAAGGGAATCTCATAATGAATTCACGATTGTTCCCCACACATCAGAGGTGCAACTAACCGATGGTTAAAATTTAAAACAGAAGACCCTGAACAACAGAAATAGATTTTGAAACAGGGTAAAAAAAAGGATGATGCCAATCTGATTCTTACATCTCCAGGGTAAAGAATAGTAGAACTGTGATCAAAAGTGCACAACATAGGCCAGCAAGTGGCGAGTTAAGGCTGCCCACATCGCCTGACTGCGTGGTTCAAGTCTCAGGTCGGCAGTTTGAAAATCATGGGCATGAGTGTGTGCATGTGCAAAATCCCCAGAGGAGACTGGAGAAGGGATTGTGGCGAGGCCACCCCCTCTGGGGGTAATTTTTCACTTTCTCTCTCTCTCTTCGCTGAGTGCACGTGCCCTATAGACAAAACAAAAAAGCAAAAAGTGCACAACACCCTGTAAAGTTCTTTGTTGTGGATGTGTGTCTGGTAGCTCTGGTCCCTCCCTCCTGCCTTAATAACCACACGCCATTTGGCTGCCTACCCACAGTGGTGAGGCCCATGTGAATGGCATTTCTGTTAAAAATGAGAAATCTCTTCGTGAGACTCTTTGAATGAAAGCAATTTTATCTTTGAAAACTGTGAGCGGCTGGATGGAGAAAGAATGAGGACTATCTCACTCTGAGATCTTGATCCTTGGTCACCAAGGCCTTTCGTATTTGAGCAGGGTCCAGATCACTTTTAAAAAGAGCATCACGTGTACCAGACAGTGATTCAAGAAATCCAAACTCTTGTATAACACATTTTTCAGGGCAAGAAGTGGTGTAGAGAATGGGTTAAATAATAGTCAGTGTTTCATTCAATTTATTGATGGTAGAAGGTTCACTTTTATTTACCAAGGAAGTCTCATTCTGTCTTTGGGGGGAGGGGGAATATTAGTTGTAGTATTGGTTTTCAATGATGGAGGGAGAGGAAGGGGTGTGTTATGAAAACTGTCTAGAAAATCTTTTCAAAATACATAGACTCGATTTTCTCTTTCCTGTCCATTTATTCTGAGATATGACCCTGGCCTGGACCCCGAGGAGCATAGTGGTATAGCTATATCTGGGCCATGGGACTTGGAGAAGAGCCTCCAGTGGGTTCTGACATGCAACCCCTCACCTCCTCCTCATAAGCACCTACTTCAAGACCTACTGAAGGGCTGATGTGTCTAAGTAAGTGCGGAGAAAAGAAAGCTTCCTTTTCCCCATGTAAAATAGAACTTTATTAGCGTACCTTTCACAGTTAGGTCCAGCATAATTTTCTTTACAAATGCACCGAACAGCTCCATTTTTCCTGTAGCAGGATTCTGCAAAACTAGAATCATAAGCAAATGTTAGAAGTCAATTCCATTTGTCACTAAACAGACTGTCTTAACTTTTTTTTTTTTTTCCTGGAGGGAACATGTGTTGGTCAGAGAGAGACAGAGAGGAGGGAGAGAGAGAAAGCACCCTGCATGGGGAATGGTCACACTTAAATCCTTTCTCCTCTTGGTGGCAAGGCCACTCCCCCTGGGGGGTGATTTCTCACTTTCTCTCTCTTCATCAGCACATGCGCACTGTAGCAAAAATAAAACCAAAAAACAAGGTAAGGTAAGGTAATGTTCTTTGTTGCAGATGTGTGACTGGAAGTTCTGGGCCCTCCCTTCTGCCCCGATGGCACGGCATGCCATTTGGCTGCCTACTACAATGTGAGGCCAATGTGAATGGGATTTCTGCTGAAAATGAGAAATGCTCTGTGAGACTTTTTGAATGAAAGCAATTTTATCTTTGGAAACTGTGAGTGGCTGACAGGGGAAAGAATGGGAACTATCTCACCCAGAAATCCATTGCTCTCGACTTCTAGGATTTTGGGCAGTCACGCACATTCGCCCTATGGGCTTCTCAAGCTGCTGAGTTTAGGACCTGAACCACGCAGTGGGACCACGTGAGATACAGCTGCCTTAACCACCAGGCCACAAAGCTGGTGCCATCTTAACTTTATATTACATTACCTCTGCTTTGATCTCCTCAAGTTCTAATCGTTGTAATAATTTGCTTTATTTAAACTTACTAAATTCACCCTACTGGAAAGTTAGAGCAGCAGGTCCAGACAGAAAATTGCCTCTCCATTTCTCAGGTCTTACATGTATATTTCAAATCCAAATCTAACACACATATTTAAAAGCCATGAACAGAATAATTAAATTTTACTTGTAGTTTTGGATTTATATGAGAATCTTCTCCTATTCTTACCATTTTCTGTGTAAATGCATGGGAGTTTTCCTTTTTTTTCTGCACCAGATCTCTTAGTTTTAAAGGTCAGGAACCAGTTCTAAACCACACTCTGTAATCTGCATAGGAGCTTAGTCTCTTTCATGTGTACCTCAGAGGTTGGGAATACAGTAGGTGCAAGAACTACCTTTAGTGTATCGAAGTCACAAAGCAAGTACTCCAGTAAGAAATAGGACCCATGGGACCATCAGTTAGCGTAATGGCTATGTTGCTGGACTCCCATATGGTCGACCACAGTTTGAGCCCTGAACCCAGTGGTTTAGAACTCGCACTGGGTGCTTCTACATGCATGCCCAAGATCCAGAGAGGAGAAAGGAGGAGAAGGGATTGAGGCATGGCCATATCCCCTGGGGGTGATTTCTCGCTTTCTGTCTCTCTGTCTCTCTCTGTCTGTCTGGTGAGCGCACGTACCCTACAGCAAAAACCTCTCCAAAAAAACAAAAAGAAATAGGATCCGTGGTGGGAGGGTTTCAGCCCATAGAATTCCACCTTTTCTTCCTTTATTTCCATTTTTTTTTTTTAAGATAAAAAAACTAGGACCTGCATGTGGCATGGTTAAAGTGCTGGACTCCCACATGGCTGACGGCAGTTTGAGTCCCAGATCTGGTGGCTTGCTTTCTCACTACTCCCGCCCCCTCAGTCTCTCTTTGGTGAGTGCACATGTCCTGTAGCAAATTTTTAAAAATTGATAAATTAAATAAAATAAATAATTTTTTAAAATAATAACAAAAATTAGGATGTAGGAGAGAAAATTAATAGAAATATTGGTATAGTAAATAAATAACTATTCAGGACCAGCAGATGGCATAATGGTTATGCTGTTGGACACCCATGTAGTTGACCATGGTTCAAGTCCCAGATCTGGCAACTTAAAACTCACTTTGGGTGCATGTGCATACTTGCCTAAAATCCCAAGAAGAGAATGGAGGAGAAGAGATTGCAGCATGATCATCCCCCTTGGGGGGTGATTTCTTGCTTTCTGTTTCTCTACACTTTGTTTCTCTGGCAAGTGCACATGCCCTATAGCAAAAATATCTCAAAAACAAATAAATAAACAACTATTCTGTTTTTTAAAGGATTATTTAATTTTATTTATAATTATTATTATTTTTAAATTTACTATAGGGCACATGTGCTCATGGGAGAGAGACAGAGAGAGACAGGGAGAAAGAGAAAGAGAGAAAGTGAAAAAGCAAGCTACCAGGTCCAGATCTCAAACTGTGGTCAGCCAAGTGGGAGTCCAGTGCCTTAACCTCCGTGCCACCTGTTGGCCCCACTATTCTATTCATTAAGGTAGGGGAATGAAATATTGCTCTCCACATATTGAAAAATTCTACATTGACACATATAGGTGTGTGTGAAAAATGATAGACTTTTGGATTTGTTTTGCTCGCGTACTGTACAATCCATAGAGTGGGACCTGCTGTTCTCCTGCTCATGTGTGCATCAGCCATTTTATTCTAATGGTCTCTGGAGGAAAGCCAATGGATGTGTTTGCTTTGTCTGAAGACATTTATAAAATCAGTGTGTTTCTCAGTGAAAGCTAACAATACTCACAATTTATTTTCTCTAATAGTTTGGTAAAAGCATTCCAAGCAAATTACATTTCTTTGGCCTCTTACCCTTTATTTATCTTGTTCTGATCCCTTAGCCTACTTAAAGAAACATTGTCCGTTAAGAGTGCAGCCCATGAACACACCCCCCTGCTTCCTCTGTAGGTGTTCCCATCCAGCAGCCTGCCTGCAGCTTGAAGAATGAAACATCTGGTGGGGTGTCTGGAGTCACCTTCCTTTTGCTAATGTCCTGCTGTTTCAAACAGATGACATTTTTCTTAATTGGAGTGAGTAACATAACTTCTGGTAGAATGGGAGGATGTCTGGCCAACCCCCAAATAAATAAATGCACTCTATGCAAATAGCCCTGGGAACAACCCCATGACCATTGGTCTTGGTGGCGGAAGACTCAGAAGCAATGTCGGCCATCAAGAGTTCATTTTTGTTTCTCATCAGCATTTACTGTTTATGTTTTTCTTAGGATAAATTCTGCTTTTGGCAGGGGAAATGAAAACATTGCGTCTCTCTCAGTTCACTCTAACTGCTGTGGTGCCTCCCTTCAAGTGGAAGGGTGCCTTTTGCTCTTGGAAAACCCTCGGGGAACTCAAAGAAAAATAGCCTCAGCCCTTTGTTTGTTTGCTTAACTCCTTCGAGTATTATTTCCTTGCTTTCTGATGTGGCTGTTACAATTGCAAATCCAAATTCTGGATCTGTAGGTGCAACTTGTGGGTCTTTCAAAGAATAATTCAGATTCCATCTGAGGAGCCTTTTTGAAATGTCTGGGCACTGTTATTTTTATAAGAAATAGCAATATGACTAACAAAAAAGTGAAATAGGTAAGGGGGCATTTGCCTTTTTTAAAATTTTAATTTGCCATAGGATGCCAGTTTTTGTGGTGGAGGAAGGGGAGAAAAAGTGAGAAGGCACTCCCCACCAAGTCGGGGGGTGGGGAACACCACAATCTCTTCTTCTCCATGTCTCCTTTTGGGATTTTGGGCATGCCTGCACACATGTCCTTGCCTGCAACACATGTCCATGTGCCTTCAAGTCTCTGGGTAGGGGACTCGAACCACACAGTCGCCTATGTAATTCTAGCTGCCCTGATCACTATGCCACAAGCTGGTCTGGGGCATTTGACTTCGATCATGCCACAGGCATTTGATTGTTGATAAGATATTTTATTAGTTTTTGAAATCAGTTATCTAAGTCAATTTAGAACTTCATACGATCCAAGGAAATTTCTTCAATTCTATGCCTGAGGCTACTCTCTCTCCTCTGCTTCTGCTTCCAGTTTTTCCCTCAAGAGATTGAGGAATAGAGACAGTATTACTAGTACAGAGAAAAATCTGAGACATTTTAGATTCTCTCACATCCTTATCAATTTCTCCCCTTTCCTCCATGCTCCCCCCTGATGTTGTTTATTTACAGGTGATTCATTTTCCTATTTGTTTTCATTTTCAGGTTTTTAACAGCAGGGACAACAAGGACTTCAGTTTGCATATCTGTAAATATGTACTGAACTTCGAAGTGCATTTCCAGTTTCTCAACTATACTTTTTAACCCTGGATCCACTCACACACAGAAAGAATATGGTGAAAATGCCCCTACACCTTTGGAGACCATTTCTTCTGTCAGGACAAGAGACTCCTCACCCAATGGCAAGTTTCTGCCTCATTAACAGCCTTCATCAGCACTTCCTGCTCAACTAAAATACTGAATAATCTGGCTCAAAAAATAAAGGATTATGGATCCTCAAAAATTGCTGAATTTTAACCTATTTTAATGAAGGCAAGATATTTTGACTGTTTATGCTTAGTTATGTCTCCAGTGATTAGTCTATGACTGGCACCTAACAAGGCATCAAAAATATCAATTTTTGGGGAACCAGCAGTTAGCATAAGGGCTATGTCCCTGGATTCCCACGTAGTCGACCGCGGTTTGCGTCCCGGAACCGGTGGCTTAAAACTCACACCGGGTGCGTGTGCGTGCGTGCCCAAGATCCCGAGAGGAGAATGGAGGAGAGGAGATTGCGGTGTGACCATCCCCCATGGGGGGTGATTTCTCACTTTCTGTCTCTCTGTCTCTCTCTGTCTGTCTGGTGAGCGCACGTACCCTATAGCAAAAACCTCTCAAAAAAAATCAATTTTTATACTGGTACATAGTGAGTGCTCAATAAGTACATGATTGCATATAGACAAGACTTCTCGGTCTATAGGGAATGATTTGTAAAAATCTCATATCTCAAGACATTCATCTCAGATACTTTAGACAAGAAAGCCTTGCATCGTCACGTGAAATAGTGCAAAAGTAGGACAATACAATGGAAGGGACCCACCTGAGAGTATCTTCCTTATTCACCTCTTACTGTCTAAAGAAACTGTAGGTCACAGCATATAGGCCCTTCCTGAGCCGATGAGGTTATGCAACATTTTTATTTATATGGGAGAATGAGTGAAGCCTATAAGGAAATTGGAGGTAACAATATGGAAGAGATGAGGTATGCTAAATATCTCCTCAGATGTGGCTAAGGCTAATGTTTAACAGCAGCAGATTCATGGACAATTAAAGAATGTGCCTAAGTGAGGCCAAGGGAGCTCATAAATTAGGACATACTTGAGTGAAAACCATAGAACATGTAATGTTTGTGTTTTCTACTCTCACCCTCGGTACCATCCATTTTGCACACATTATTAATACTATCGGACATGAAAAATCACCAAGCAAGGTCTGGTGACAGTTTAGTGGTTTCTAAAGAAAAATGAGGCTGTAAAACATCTGACTTCTTTATGACTGTCAGACTCACCATAGAATTTGAACACATCATAAACTACTAGGGTGAAATGTTAGTCAATATTCATGTTTGATTAAGGAAAAAAAATTAAAGGGCAGTCTGGTTGCCATTGCTTCTTCTTCTTTCTTCTTTTTTTAATAAGTAAGTGTGTGAGTGCGTGTGTGTGTGTGGGGGGGGGAGGAGCAGGTGGCAGGTACTAAAGTTCTTTGAAAGTAATCTTTTTTTTTTCTTTTTTTTGGAGAGGTTTTCACTATAGGGTGCGTGCACTCGCCAGACAGACAGAGAGAGACATAGAGACAGAAAGCGAGAAATCACCCCCCAGGGGGGATGGTCACGCTGCAATCCCTTCTCCTCCATTCTCCTCTTGGGATCTTGGACATGCACGCACACGCGCCCGGCGTGAGTTTTAAGCCACCAGGCCCAGGACACAAATCACGGTTGACTACGTGGGAGTCCAGCGACATAGCCATTACGCTAACTGCTGGTCCCAAAAGTAATCTTAAGTACATTATTTAATTTCATTTTTGCACAGTTATCAGTTAAATAAATTTTATTGAAACACTTGGAACAGTGCCTGACACAGAGTAAGTATAATATAAGTATTAGAATAAATACCATGTTATATGTTCAGTTAAGCTGCCATCTATTTTCCACCTTCCATGTGCAAAACACCAAGTCAAGTGCTGCACTCATGTCATCCTAGTTCATGCCTCAAACACGATGAAGCGAGTTCTTACTCCTTAGTTTGACTTAATAAGGAAATGGCTGAGATTCACACAGCAGGTAAAGAAATCAAGGGGCAGAACCCGAATCTGAATCTAAACTCCTTGACCTCAAATCCCACAGAAAGTGAGACAGAGAGAGAAAAATAACTTGTCTGAGGTCACTCAGGTATTATGTGTAAAAACAGGAAAATGACTCTAAGTTTGTTACTATTTCTACTTGGAGTATTAAAAAAAGCAATAAGCACATATTTAATTTTTGTCCCTGGTTCCCTGATACAGAACTCCTATAACCCTTGGAATTTCCTGGTAAAAAGATTGTCTTTCGTTGTTCATAACAAACCTCTTTCAACCATACCAGAGTTTTAGCTAATGAGCTGACACTCAGTGGACCCCCAGGTAGTTTCAGAGTAGGAGTTGGTCACCAAGGGAACTTTCAACCCTACCCACCTCCCAACCTCGAGAGAGGGGAGAGAGACTGGAGATTGAGTTTAATCACCAATGGTCAGTGATTTAGTCAATCAGGGCTATGGAATGAAACGTTGATGCAAACTTCTTGACGATGAGTTTTGGAGAGCTACAGAGTTGTTGCACATGGATGTGCTGAAAGGATAGTACTCCTGAAGAGAGCATCAAATCTCTTCGCCTCTCCTTCCTTCCATCTCCATATTTTGGCCTGCACATTTCTTCCCTTTGACTTTCTGAATTGTATCTTTTATAATAAACCTATAATCATAAGCATAGCACTATCCTGAGTCCAATGACTGTGTGTCATTTTAGTGAATGACAAAACTTGAGAAAGATGTGGAAGAGCCCCCCCCCCCCAAAAAAAATTGTTTATTTGCTAGAAAATAATTCGGGAGACCTGGTGAATTGTATCTTTTATAATAAACCTATAATCATAAGCATAGCACTATCCTGAGTCCAATGACTGTGTGTCATTTTAGTGAATGACAAAACTTGAGAAAGATGTGGAAGAGCCCCCCCCCAAAAAAAAAAATTGTTCATTGCTAGACATAAGTCTGTGTACTCTGGGAACCTTGTGTTTGGTTGCCACTTTGGCTGAAATGAAGACAGTTTTATAGAACTTGACCCATAACCTATGGAGTCTATATAAACTTCTGGTATTTTGTGTCAGAACCGAATGGATTGGGAGATACCCAGTTGGTATGAAAAAAATCGGAGACTTGAACTCAACCAGGTGGCATTATCTGTAGCAGCCAAGAGACCGACATTGCGTTTAGAGACCAAGATCCTATGGTGCTGGAGGACGGGGAAGGGAGATGGTGGCATGACTAGACCCTGTTAAGGACACATTCAGAATAAAAATGCAAAGAATTTGATAACTGGTCAATATATTGAAAACCAAATACCTCTACCATTTTAATTCTATATTCTGTCATTTTTAAGTTAATAAATTGGCCAGCCATGACTTGATTACTGGAATAATACATATTGTATACCTATAAACAACTCCATTATTTCCCTTAGGAATATATGTATATATATACATATATTCTATTTAACTTCTCAGGTCAAAACATAGCTAAAAGTGAGAATTCATTTTCTTGGAACTCTTCTGGGAACTGATTGGCCTAAAGCCTGGATTCTGTTTATCTGAGTTCTAATTGTGAGTGAAAAGCATATTTGGCTGCCACATATATGCTCTCTGAGAGTCAGAAGAAACATACAATTGAAAAGACTACATTATAATGAGTGTACTGGCATTACTAGTTGTGCTCTCTCTCACTCAAGAGACAAGTAAGAAAAGATGAGACTAGCCCTGCTTATAAAAGTGGAGAGACTTCACTGGTCTTGTGACACACACCAATAAATTTGAAGCACAGTTATCACCTATATGGCAAGTGCCTAAGCTTCCCTGAAAGTATATTTAATTAAACTAGAGAACTTTCTTATATCTTTTCCAGTCTCATCTCAATGTGAAGTAGTTTTGTTTGGAGACAAACCTAAGAACTCTGCATAGTGAAAAAAAAAATGTCAGAGATAAGTATGAGATCATCTTCCTTTAGGACTTACTTGGCCAGGTGGGGCAGGGGACAGGGACACGGCTGGCAGAAGCGGGGTGGTCCCCTGATAGAATCTCCAATATAACCATCCAGACATTTTTCACAGTGCTCTCCTGTTGTGTTCCGTTGGCAGTGCTATCAGACGAAAGATGGGAAAACTGATGAGGATTCAAAAGAAATTATAATTTATAGACAGCAATCTAGGAACCAAACAATACTTCAAATGAAGAAGATGACAAGCCTGGTAGAATAATGATTGCAGCAGAACAGGTGAGCACAGAGGAGCATTCTGGGCCCCGTTAATGCTAGAAAGTGTGGACGAGTGACAGATGAATTCATCCTGGACTTCTGTGTGCACTGGCAGCCTGGAGGCTCTCTTTAAAGTTTGTGCACAGAGGGGATTATTCAACAGTTACTCATTTCAGTTCAGAATAGAAATCAGAACGATCAAACCCTGGGTGTTCCAAGAGCATCAGTTTACTAAATTAGAATTGATCTGAAATGAACCAACAAAACAAATAAACCAGTGATAGCCCACTGGTGCTCACCCACGCCTGGTGCTCACATAGGAACAATAAGGGTTTACAAAATGCGTCTGTACACAAATGTAGTTATAAAAAGCGTTCTGCTGCTGGGTTGGTATCTTGGACAGTGACACATGAGAAATAGCAAGCAGGTTTGTATAACTGTTGCATTTGGGTAAGGATAACAGGAAGAAAGGGATGAAACGGGCTGATCCTTCTGCTTGGAATCCCTGTTCATCATGTGAGAGCTACACCAGGCTTCAGAATCTCTGAAATTTCTTCCTAATTCTCCCTCAATTCCTCCCTCTTCCCACTATAAACTTTTGACCATTATCTGCTGCCAGCCTCAGCACGCCACCCTCAGTACACTGTGTCTTTTAGCATTGTACAGACACTAACTCCAATGGAGTTGGTGCTCGGTAGCTGTCAAGCTGGCGAATTGATTTCTGTAAGAGGCGTTGATGCTAACGCACGCACGGCAGCTTTCTCCTGTGGGATGGCCCAGGATAGCACAGGTGAAGCCATTAGCACTACAATAGTTTCATCTTTACACTCACCAGCATGTACAAAGATCAAACCGGGTTTTCAGTGAAAAATTACATTGTTGGAATTAAAACACCATGAGAGAGGCACCCCTCTTATTTAAGCAATTGCATTAGTAATGCCAAGAGCTTCAACAGAACAGCTCTTTAGACCGCGCTCTGTGGAGGAATCTTGGAGAAGGCAAGGTGGAGCTGGAACAGGCTGAACTTTGAGTTGATCGTTTTGTCTTTATTCTCTAATCATAATTTGGAATAAAGATAATAGCAAATCTCTGCCCTAAGTGTTTTACTTGAGTTAACTGATTTATTTCTCTCGACAATCCTGAGGTAGGTTTCTATTTTCCCTCTATTTTCCATATGAGAGGTCAAATGGCCCAATGTCACACGGAGAGTGAGGGGCAAAAGTGAGATTCAAATTCAGACATTCTAGTTTCAGAGATGAGGCTGTTAATTTCCAGATTATATTGCTTCTCCAATATTTCTAGAAAAAAAGCTCCTTTTCCGAACAGTCATAAGATGACTGAATTAGAAGATTTCAGGGTATGTTTTTCTGAAAGAGAAGCGCTCCCACGTTGGGCTCCTCCTGCCTTAGCCTCCTGGCTGGGACCACTGCAGCCTCATCACCTAGCACTTTTTTGATAGAGCCTCCCTATGTTGTCTGGGCCATGTTTGAGGTTGTTGCTCTCCTACATCAGACTCCTATGTTTCTGGGATTATAGGCACGCGCCAACACACCTGGTCTTTAGATTAGACCTGGAGTCGAACTTGGGCCTCCCATGTGGTCCTAGCCTAGAGACCAGGGTCTTAGTAGTGTGCATGACTGCAGCTGTGCCTCTCCACTGTTTTACTGACAGCTTGTGCTTCCAACAAAGTACAACACACTTGTCAAGAGGGAGGAATCCTAATGTGGGCAGGACGCTATCCAGATTGAACAGTCATCAGGTATTCGATCGTCCACTAGGGACTGTCTGTCAACTTTGGCTCCTGATTAGAATTCTCAAATAGAATAGGTTTAAGGGAGTAGTCCAGACTGCCTGAGGGATCAGTGAAAAACTCTGAAAAATAAAGTATGACATGCAGACAACAGGATGTGAACATATCTCCCTCACACATTTCACATCTCATGCTAGCCAGCCTCCTGGAAATAATTGTTGGGAGAAGGATGAAAGATGAAAGAAAGGGCGAATTAATGAATTAATGGCTGGAGCAAATAAAGGAAATAAACATACATACTAAACTAGCTCAAAATTGTTGGCAATCTCTCATCCCAGGAAAAACCAAGGAGCCTTATCTAGTTACTATGAGCCTATGTAATGAGCAGTCTGGCAGGGCTGCTCATAGACTGGGGTCAAATTTCTCCGAGTTGTCGTTAGACAGCTAAAGTCCATCTGTGCAGAAGGAAACAGGCCCATTTCAAGACGTTAGGCCATTCTTTGACTCAAAGTGAAAAACGAACCCGTTCCCAGTTCTGTCCCTTGTAGCTTGATGGATGCTTTGGATTCTTTGTCAGGGTTTTACTTCTGCCATGGACCATGGTTACCTTCAAAGTCAAACACACCTAATTTCGCTTGTCCTCCCAATACTTAGAGTGCCAATGTTGACTTCCTTTGTCTGCCTTCTTTTGTAGGGTTTACTATGAAAATCCCTAAAAGGCACGATGCATATTCTGCAAGAGTGCTGAGGTGCTGGACACAGAGAGAGAAGGTTGCTTCCATTTTCTAATTGGTCCACTTTGAATAAGTCATTCGGCATT